ACCTTACTGAAAAGAGCTAACAAACACGAAACCTGAAGAAATATATTGCTTCATCAACTGAGTGCTTCTAGATAGACATGTATAAACAAACTGTTTTGGTTTGTAGTCAAGATATTATGAAAAATGTCATGGTCGTTGCATGGCTGAACGCGGTAAATCGTAGATGTCTCCGCTATATACCGCAAAATTAGTGACACTCCACCAGCAGTTGGCAGCAAAACTGTAGTCCATGAAAAATATGCATTATAGTAAAAACACAATATATATCTTCGGGTCACATGTTAGCTGGCACTCGTCAGTAAAGCGTACCTGCAATCTCGCCAGTGCAAAATGATTGATAGAATTCGGTCTGCAAATAGGGCTAGAGAAGATGACAACTTGATTTACAAAATGTCACAACACTTTAAATACATATTCATTTTAAACACCAAAAAACTATTACACCATGAAGAGTATGCTTCACAATTAATTCCTATTTAGATTCTAAAGTTATGAGCTAAATCAACAATCATAGCAATGGGTGGAGTTGTGGCTCATTGGTTTATTCAGTCGACTTCAACCAGTGAGTCACGGATTCGAGTACTGTCCTATCTACCGAAGTTTGGGCAGTCAGACAGTATCATTAGCCCTCATATAAAAGGTGTGCTTTATTGCCTATTGCATGAATGTGTACAGAGTTACTGAGTGCATTTCGATAATAGTATCGGGATAATTCAGTACACAAACACATTTCAAACGGTATATGAATTGGGAACTTGTAAGGCGATTAATCGAACCTTTTTAATCTTAGAATAGTTTATATACTATCAATTAAATATGCTGACAGGTCGTAAATAAGACGTAATACGAATGATGTCCTAAGAGGAGACTGACGAGAAACAGAGATATCGGTAATGGTACTTGTCTTATTACAAACCATTAGAGAAGGAATGTCCTAACTCGTTTAGTTGAATTCATAGTTGATTTTATTGACACTGAATTGATTCTCTATAAAGGAGTAAATGGACTCCATATGCCATTATCTTTTAAATACAGTGTACTACACAAGACATACTGATGCATACATGATGTCCTGTGACAATCAAGTGTAGCAGTATGCAACTTTCAGTTCATTTTATTCCCTCCCTCTGAAACAAGATTGACAAATGTACTCGCATCCCGAAATGCCTATCTGATTGCGCAATCTATGTAACTTGTCGTACCCAGACATTTAGATAGAAAAATAACGATGAACTCAAATTACATCAATAATTATCAAATCTTAACTACTATAAGGGAAGCATATACTTTTTGAGTAGAAAGATCTCTTTATAACTCAAGAAAGATACAACTTGGTTTGAAATGTCTTTCTTAAATAATGGAGGCAAAAACAGAGATTTTCTGGCATTTGTAGACAGTTCCTATTAGGAATTACTGTAGATCATATTTGCTTACATAACATTACTAAAATATTCATTTTCTTCTTAAATACTCCTGACGTATAGAACTCGAATCGAATTGACTTCAACGAACAATACTGCGTTTGCATTTCGTTGGGACCAAGTTGAAGAAGCGAATGTACTGTACTTAGGTCATTATTTGTTTTTGTAAATACTTCTTTTATTCGGGTTATTCTTCTTTCTTGCTAGTAAAGTGTTAAGAGTCATAGAGACCTATTTTGCTCACCACTGTACACAAAATAAACAATGCTGAAGTTACGTAAAATCAAACTACCATACAGATAATATTCGTGTCATTTATGAGTTAACAATAGAACTCCATATTGATAATTTCATCTTTCAATGCAGATGTTCCTTCTATTTCTGTCGTAAAATGTCTACAAAAATAATGGTCAATGAAAATCCCACAACTACTTCATCATATCGTCCACATAACTTAATTATGAATGAGCAGGAACTGAACATTCATTGAACATATAGCAGTTTTGCCTTCATATTCTTAATGAGAATTCTTGTTTTTCCTATTTTCTACGATTTGTTTGTATTCTTGATAGTATGATTCAATATGTTATAGCAAGTGCAAGATACAGAGAGCTCAACGTATCTTTAATACAACAAATTGGCACCTTACTTTTGTGCGCTTACGGTATGTAATAAGTATACAACAGTGACAAATATAGATCCCAGATTTTTACATTTGGTTGAATAAAGTTTAATGTCACACTTAGCCATCTTGAGACAGGCGCTTTTACGCTTCATCCTAAAACCTGCTTTAATATTATCTGTTATCTTCATAGAATTAGCTTTATGAATGCTATGACCAGTAGTATGACCTAACAACCTAAGAGCGATACGGGCCTAGTAGACTACGAAGCTAAACCGCAAATGAATTGACTGAAACGCAAATCAGAACATCAACCACCACAACAACGATACCACCGACGCGCGAAGACAGACAGCTTCTCACTGTTTCAATAACAGTCAATACAGTTGGCATCGATGCTGAATATATGCATTTTTAAATGACCCTGACAACACTAAATCTACATATAGTTAACAACCAATGAGAGTTCAACCTTGAGGGCAGAGGAGAGAAAAACTAGTAACAACGTGAAAACAGCCATGTAGGTCATTTTTAAGGTCATGGGCAAAACAGCAGGCAAAAGCTATGCCAAACTAGGGGTATGTAGCAATGGATGACTACATTAAGTCAACCTTTCTAGATGGTGAAAAGATTTACACCAACGTGATCTATTCCAAGTTATGTCGTCAAGAGTCTCTGAATGACTACCAATTCCTAGCATCCGGACGACCCCAGCCACCTACACGATTCAGAAACCTCATGAATTGATGTCATGCCCTGATAAGACCATTCTTAGTTTCAGCAGAACCTAATTCTTTTTCACCCAACACTGCTCATCAATGAAGACCAACGGGTCACCACACACAAGACATGTCCCCACCACTTCAGTTGATGAAAACCTATCCAGTTACCTGTAATACCTAACGAGTGTGTTGAACAGAAAATTCAAGTTTTTTTTTAAAACTGGAATCGTATATCTCGTCGAAAAAACGTTCACATCTTACTCCCGAGTTATGAGATAGAAGTCGTGGTATGTCACAAGTCCTTGATCCATATTAGATTTGTTTATCTGATTTACAATACACAGCGATACAGTATTACTTACTTGATGACGTTTCGAGCATCATATCTGTTACATGTGTTAATTCGATGAAGAAAGATTCGGCAATCAATCTCTCTCTCCACTTAATCATATTCGACTTAAGTACGATGGTTTTATTCTATCTACCCTATTATGTGGTTATGTTGATGCATGCATTGCAATAGATTATTGATCTTATTCGGGTCTGCTACTGTATATTTAGCTCAAGTCCTATTTTCCGCTAATCTAACTGACCCCGACCGACTAGCTTGATCTATGCACTTGACTTCATAGTCATTGCATGGGAGTTGGTAGTTGAGATTATTTTGCTGAACTGGATCTATTCGATCCTTAAACCGACGAAGCTTATCTCTAAGTGAGTTTGTAGATTTAAATGCCAACCTAATTCCAGCTATGTTAAAATTCCTAGGTAAAGTTTCTGATGTTCCTTCCTTTTATGGTAACATAAAAGAGGCTATGAATTCCTTTCTACTCGTGTTGTCGTTATTATTCATACTCGTGTTATTGTTATTATTTCCTTTCTTATGTGTTCGTAAGAATTTTTTAGTAAACTGTAGAGGGTAATTACTAACTGTTGGTGCTTCTTTTTATGTGTTTCAGTTCCTTTTTTAGATCTTTTCACTGACTAGTTAGTGCAAAATAATCTAATCTATCAAATTCTATGTAGCGACTGCGTGGTCAAATACATGGGTCAAACTAATCGGCCGAGGTCAGTTAGATTAGCAGAACATAGAACTTCAGCTAAATATACAGTAGCAGACCCAAATAAGATCAATAATCTAGAAAAGACACCGATATTGCAATGCATGCATCAACACAACCATATAATAGGGTGGATGGGATAAAACCACCGTACTTAAGTCGAATATGATTAAGTGGAGAGAGAGATTGATTACCGAATTTTTCTTCATCGAATCAACATTCAACACATACCAGAGATATGGGAAATTTTATTCCTACCACTGAATAGAAAGAATAAGAGGTGACAGGACCATAAAAATCAAATGTGGAAATTTGTGTGGTTACATCGATATGATTATGAGCGATAGTTTATGCTCGAAACGTCATCAAGAAAATAATACTAGATCACTGTGTGTTATAAGTCAAACAGATATTGAAGGAGTTGTGGGGATTTGGAAATATTTCAAGTTGTCGTTCATCGTAGACTGACATCAGTTGGAGGAACAAAGGAAACCTGAGAGCACTGGACAGCTGTCTCGTCCTAGTATAGGACTCCTCAGCAGTGCGCACCCACGACCCCGCCAGGGATCGAACCCGTGACCTTCAGGTTTCGTCGCCAGCACATTACCACTGAACCACTTGGTCAGAACCCAATAGTCCATATCTCCAACTCCTGTTAGCTTACCGGTGGGGACAAAGCCTGATAGTCGTGAGGACAGCTACTAAACGATGACATTGGGTGGCGGTTGCGCTATATCGTGAGCTAACAGAAGTTGGAAACATGAATTATTGGATTCTGACTCAATGGTTCAATGGTAACGTGCTAGCCACGAAACCTGAAGGTCACGGGTTCGGTCCCTGGAGTGCGGGGTAGTGGGTGCGCACCGCTGAGGAGTCCCATACTAGGACGAAACAGCTGTCCAGTGCTCCCAGGTTTCCTTTGTTCCTCCAACTGATGTCAGTCTAAGATGAATAACAACTTGAAATAAATCAAATAAACAAATCTAATATGGAATTAAATTCTACCACAGTGTACAAGTTTTACACTTAGAAACGAGTCTTTTTTATGATGTAATAATCTTTATTTACAAAATGCGACCAATAACCGTGTCCTGTTTCATCACATAACAAACAAACCAATAAGAAGAAAGAATTCTAATGTACAAAGCAAGTATACAAAGAATATAATGTATATTCATACAGTATCCATTTTTACAGTATCATCTTCATGTATAGACTTCAATGACGACTGAACACACGTTAAATCATCAACATTCGAAGACAATGGTTCATCATCTGAAAGAATGAATAATTACATATGTTCATGATTTATGTTTACTAAACTTACCCTCTACAATTTTCTGCAACCCCTTTAGAGCAACAAGAAATAGATGAAATTGTGTTTTTCTAAGCTGAATTTTTTGATCATATTCTTCATTTAACTTTTCTAGTCGTTCTAATGTAGCTTTTAATTTTATATATTTCCTGAAAAAGAAAGGATAAGAATATCTTAACAATCAAAGTACTATAACTTTTGTTGATATACTTGTAATTCTTCGTTGTTTTGCTGGATCGAATTGTTCGACCTCTGTTGGCATATAGGCATCTGTGCGAATGCCTAGATACTGCCTGAATAATTATTACAGTAATTTACTTGGTTATGGCTAGCAGAAGAATTCAAGATTCGTGTTTTGTCCTACGAGGCTTGAGTCCCAGTGGGAACAATACCACTTCACTGAGGTGTAGATACACCCAGCTGACGAATCCCAAATGGGATGAAACGCGCGTCCTGGATTCTTCAGTTAGCCACAACCAAGTAAATTACCGTAATCAAAGTACTACATTATATGCAAACTTTCAGATAGACAAAGTTAATATAAAACTGTGATTAATATTCATATCACACATAAAGTTGCCTTTAGAAGTCAGGATCTTGCGCCTGAAAGACATGACCGTTGACCAATATTGATATTGCTATTAGCCTGCGGAAATTTTAAGTGATGCATCACTGAACCACTTTTAATCTGCTGAGTTGTTTTGATCTATAATTAATTCTAAAGAGTAGCGGATCAGTGTCAACAAATACAGAAGACAATGTGTATGAGGATTAAGCTCGGCAACTTCAACTGGTTTCCGCTGCTGATTTCCAACTGACAGTTTGAAAAAAACTTATGAAATGCTGATTGGTTACGGAAGAGCAACCAATTTTATGTTGTCTACTCCTGAGTGCAAACCAAATCCTATCGATCATACTTGCAGTGTGGCCACCAAGCTAGGAGGCTCAGCATCACGGTGCATAATGGTAAATGTTAGTTGGTTGGAGGAGGTCGGCAGGAAGCCCTGCTCAACCTGGGGTTTCGTGACTGTTGGCACTCTTCAGTAGGGCGTATCTGCATCCTGGACAGGAGTGGTGTCTCACCCGTGGTTCGGACGTGTCCCACCCGGTGTTAGAGGTCAGCGATGTAACCACTGAGCTATTCGGACCACGACCGACCTCCTGTAGGACTGGATTACATGCACTGAATAATCACAGAAGAGCAACCAATTTCATATTGTCTAGTCCTGGGTGCAGACCAAATTCTATCGACCGTGGCCCGAATAGCTCGGTGGTAACGTTGCTGACTACAACACTGGGTGATGCGGGTTCGAACCACAGGCAGGACGTCAATTCCGTCGAGGTTGCAGATGCGCTTTACTGACGAGTACCAACAAGCACGAAACCTGGGTCAAGCAGACTGTCTTGGCGATTACCTCCAATCAACTAAAAACTTACAAAATAAACGAGGCATTCGGAGCATAGAATAACAATATGCGGATATCAAGCAGCAAGTCAAACAAGAGAGAGATATGAGGAGAAAATGGCATCAAAGTTGGCGACATAATATGGTCTTAGTTGTTGAGTCATCCTTCGTATAAATACTCACACGCAAGTCATAGTCTTATTACCACTTACTTATAGTGTTTTGGGTAAATGAGAACAGTAATGTGTAGAGACTGGTGATTACATACACATAATCAATAAATAATCGTAATCTAAATAAACTGAAGCCTGTTTAGCTCTACAATCTCAATGAGCCATCCCCATTGTATGATGCTACCTGGCTGCGCAATCCTTGGTAAATGAAGTGGGTTTGGAACTCACTACTCGTTGGTTGAAAGTGAGCCACAGCCCCACAACGTTTAGGTGACAGATATGATAATCATAAAGGAATCAATTTAACATTGTTTTTAGAACTCTAGAATTTAGATATACCTACAGAGATCCTGTAATACTTACATTTCTGAACCTAAAAATTGGAAGTGATTGTGTCTACTAGTCATAACTAGCAATAAGAGGGAAGGTTGACAGCTATATTTTATTGTTGTAAGCTACACGGCTTAATAACTATGATCTTATGAGAATGATGGTGAAATACATTTGAAGTTACTAAGCCCAGTGATCTTCGTCAGTGCTTCTCACCTTAAATAAGTTGATATAGAGCGTATCCAAATTACTACCTGAATCATTTCATACCAGTACAATTCATAAATCGTACATTTTGACGCAGAATAAGGAGAAATCAACTATTGAATTTGTGGATTTGTGGGCATTTAGAGATTTCTCAAGTTGGTATTCACCATGAACTGACATCAGTTGGAGGAATAATGAAAAACTGGGAGGATTGGACAGCTGTCCCCTCCTAGTATGAGACTCTTCGACAGTGCGCACCCATGACCACACACCACAAAGGATCGAACCCAGGACCTTCAGGTTCTGTGACCAGCATGTTACCATTGAGCCACTGGATCGGAATCCAATGCTCTATATTTCCATGATGAATACCAACTTGAAAAATCCTTAAATCCCCACAAACCCCAAAATTCAATTTTTCTAGTGCTCATTGGTGACTAGCTTCGAGAGGTGATTCCTGAAGTTCCAATGAGAAGTCGTGACCAGTGGGGTAAACCTGATGGCCGTGAGGACAAATACTCAACGATGACATTCGGTGATGGTCGCGCTATACCGTCAACTGACAGAAGTTGGAAATAAAGACCAGTGGATTCCGACGCAGTGGCTTGATACGGAACCTGGAGGTTCTGAGGTCGACACCTTGTGGAGTGGGGTCATGGGTGCGCACTGCTGAAGAGTCCCATACAGCTGTCCGATGCCCCCAGGTTTCCAAGGTTTCATGATGAATACCAACTTGGGAAATCAACTAGACTACTTGGGATCCTAAAATACAAATACCCCTCTCGGTCAGCACCAACGGATGTTGAAGCATCGGAAAGTATCACAGATTCGAATCCAATGAACACACTAACAAAGCCCTGAGAGTCATTTCGAGAGGGGAAAAACCACCTGTGTAAATTTTCTAAATCCTGAATCAGAATTAAAACGGGAGCGATGACTGGATTAAAACTGACAGAAACAGATTGGTAAACACTACAATCTTCATCATGAAAAAGGAAATAGTCTATATACTTACTCAAGAGTTTTATCCCTTTCTGGATGATCACATAGAACCTTTGCAAGACTATCATACTCTGCCGAATTAAGATGACTACGAAAGAAAATTACCTCGTCTATTCTTCCTGACAGTCTTTGCAGATCTCAAGTCTTCCTTGCATTGTTGAATGCGATTCTTGGCATTTTCAATAGCATTTTCTGTAGAAATAATTTGAACGGCTGTAACATACCAATTTCTTTATATAAATCTTCATACTGCTTTTGCTGTTCATAGTTCATAGCTATTACCAAAGATGACTGTTCCATCGCGTTTTCACATTGGCAAACACTGGCTATGAGAGCCTGATAAGCCTCGTAACTACACATCTCCACTAATTGTATCGTTAAGCGCTTACCCATCCTCTCCAACGTCATCGGAAGCTACCCAGCGTAGATAATTCTTGAGCAACAGTGTGATTCTACGATCATCGTTGCCACTTTCCCCCTCAAGTAGTAGCCTTCTCTTTATAATTTCGTCTAAAAATAAAAGCATTTGCTAAAGAGACAAACCATCTGTTACGGTAGACATCTGAGGAGTTGAATTAACAGAAGCCACAATCGATATAGAACTCTTATTTGACAAAAGACAGTGCCTTCAGGGATTTTAGATGGTTCACCGACGAAATCCACAGAGAGAGATGGAAAGCTAAAGATAAAAGAGCAAAGAAGGCTATGAAAAGTGCCCGGGTCAGAATAAAGTGGCAGAATATAGAGTAGCAAAATATGACACAGGAAAATTAAATGTAAAATAAATAGTGGAAGTTATTAGTGTCATGCATCCAGTGCAAGCTATACAAGTAAATAATACTGAAGTAATACCTTCAACAAATGCAAGGCGTGTGAGCTACAAATAAGCGTAGTCGATATGTGGTACCAAATTATAAAATAATTAGGTTTATCAGCTAAAGTAATTAAACTGCTAATACTCTTACAGATAGGATATTTAAACATTCCAATATATTTAGGTAGTAGGTGTGCCAGTATGCAGCCTGAAATTCTTATATCTAAAAAGTCCACCCTTTTATTTATCGAAACTGGATGTGGTACTACTGTGTAATGGTATACATTGCCAGACCCCCTACTAATGCACCAAAATAAAAAGCAAGGTGAAAGTCAAAGAGATACAAATAATATGATCAAAAGATGAAAGGAAAGGTTAAGGCTAACCGAAAAGTGTGACATAACGGTCAAAGTGAAGATGAGACGTGGATGCATCCATGCCAACCGATAAAGCGAAAGAGACGTTAATAAGGTAAACTGAAGGTATAGCAAGCATTTAAGCTAAAAAGAAAAGCTCAAAGCTTGAGACAAGATAAGTGACAGCACAGTGTCTGGCTGCTTACTCGACTACACGTGTAGAGAATGAATTAAAGAGTGGTCAGAGAAGTATAACTCTTGGGACTTACTAACAGAACTGAGTCAAAAGATGATATACATGAAGCATAGGTAATCTTAAAGTGATGCCGATTGTGAATCATTCCAACTTGAAAAAGTGGCGGATATGTCTGTGGTAAATAAAGTGAAATTTAAACAAAGTAATTATTTTTAAAGCCACTGTGTTTATAGTCATTTGATGACTGGTTGGAGATCAGAAACTGTGGAAGTAGACACGAAATATAGCAACTGAATTTCAGGGTTCAAATGAATATGATTCAATAATTAATAAAATAATTATTCAATAAATTGATATGAGGTGGGGTAACTTGAAGTGTAATGTAATATTCATTGTATTTTTAGCAAATGGGTCTATGAAGGAGGGCATAAGGATCTTACCAAATGGTTCAGAATACTGAAGGATCAGAACTTTCGAATTACACGAGTAGTAAACAATAAATAAATTTTTCATGGATATAACTAATACAATAAGTCGTTCGGAAGACAAGCGTTTAGAAAATAAAATGAAATATTAAACAGATCCTAACTTCAATTCACTTTATTTTATCCCATCAAACTTCTTCACAATACAGTAAGACAAGTTAAGAACAATGCAGGGTCCAATGAAGATTGACAAACAGCCACTAAACCACACTAGTACTATGTAGAAGGAGTAGAAATGACGCTAACAAGCTAAACTGGACAAAAAGACTTCGTGGCGGTACTGTCAAACGATACAGACTAACCGAAGAGCAACAAGCCTCCAGATAGTTTGCGTCGTTTTGCGAGTAACCTTATTGGTAATTAGTTCTACGTCGAAGTGTACTGCAGTTTTAAAACGGAACTAAGCCTGAAAAAAAGAAAATAACTCAAAAAAAGTGTACGTAACCCCACTTGCACCGTTCGAACAAGTATCTGAATCAAATGGAATAAAAATGACAAGTACGACGGGTTGTAACACACCACAGTCACAGACTCGCTGTGATATGGCATGAAATTGATCGTAGTGGCACAAAAGTACTGTCTTCCTACAAGATTTTAAATACATAAAACAATACTTCTTTGGTTTTCTTTATTTTGATTCGTTTCTACCTCTTAGTTTTCATGGGGTGTAGCAACTTGAATCGCATCAGCAAGAAACTAAGAATATTAGGCTGAATGTCAATATCTCTCAGCATTAACAACTCATACAATGGATGGTGTCAAGAAATATTTCATCTGAAAGCTCCAATCCTGCTTCAGATCACCCGGTCTACATGTGCATCCAAGGAATTCAACACCAAAGGAATGACGTCGGTAAACTTAACAAAATTAAAACTACTTATAACTTATCTTCTGTACCACAAAACGGTGTTTCTGGTCAAACCTGACTCTCAGAGATTACTATTAGCCCAATGATAGGCAAAAGTAGAAAATAAGGCTAACAGTCGTTCGCAAAATATACCGTTCTTTTTCAAATACTTTGTTTGAACACACTGTGCTATGAGTTTGCATATTTCAGAATATTCTACAGTGTTTTCGAGAAGCTCTTCAATGCCACTGAGGTGTGATGAAAGCGTCCACTACGTTATAAACTGATTTCGATTGCAAATACGATAACAGGAAACTTTAGTGTCCAGTTCCACAAGTTAATAAGTTCTACAGAGTCTTGACAGTCTAAAGAAAAAACGCAACTTCGATGTTTCCGTCTGACGCGATAAACACTAACCTAGGTTAAACCTAATAAAAACTGGCTTAGAAATAGTGGGACGATAACAAGTAGTCGGAAATGTTGAAAATCAATATCATGAAGAAACTGACTCATCAGTCATTCACCAGACGAGACTTAAGGAAAGATATATTAGGGTAGATTATCATGGACATAAAAGATGGTTAGACAAACTATCACCGAAAACACCGAACACTTTGAAGCACAGTTAAACTGGTCCAGAACAACGCTCCAGTTGCTCATCATCCAGCCCATACCTGAATGCGACGTATATCTCAGTCTCCCATCTGCTCTGGAAGCTGAGAAGGCTTTCTCAAGCTTCAAACGATGCAAACCTGACGATATGCCACCCCGAGCTCTTAAGGATGGAGACAGGAAGTTGATGACTAGAGTGACGGAGGCATTAGGTATTGTATGGTAATCAGCGGTAGTCTCGTCAGGTTGCCCTACTTCACTGATCACACCAATCTACAAGAATGGAGAGAAGTCTTCTTGTGACAACTATAGGGGAATCAATTTGACTAATATTGTGACCAGGATCATTGGGTTCATTGTTATCCGACGCCTAACTGGAACTCGGGAACACCAAACCCGAGAAAACCAGACAGGTTTCAGACCTAGAAAGGGTGTGTCGATCACATTTTCATCCTACGACCACTTCTGCAAAACAGGTATACTCACCAATGGCCAACACTTTTCATAATTTCCGGTCTGAAGGTGACATTCGACGTCGTCGACTGATCGGTTTTGTGACAGTGGTGCCTGACTGTGACGGGATTACCGAGCAAATATATCACGGTAATCAATGCTGTCTACTTGAACTCATGTAGTTGTGTAACGGCTAATGGAGAGTTGTCATGTGAAGTGACGACAACTAGTGGTGTCCTCCAGGCATGCTATCTGTCACCGTTCGTGTTTCATTAGAGATTTGTTAATGGACATAACCTTAGGTATTCATGAATTCAGAGAGATTGGCATAGTCGGTAGAAGGCACTTGGTTGATTTGAAGTACGCGGAATAGAGTGTTTGGCTAAGTGATGACGGTGTCAAAATTCATGGTCTTCCGAACACCCGAGAAGAAATCTGAGTATATTTGACATGCGCTTTGCACCATTCTGTTGCAATTACTCCCAGTCTAATGATAGGCAGTGAAGTGGTGGAATACGTCGACTACTGTACTTACTTGGAGAGTTGCATCAACTCGAACCGGCAGGTAGCTGACGAAATCTCAGCTCTAATACAGAAGGCCAGTTTGACATTCGCCAACTTGCAAGATATCCAACTACCTATTAGAGGACGAGTATACGGCGCTGTAGTTCGTTCTGTACTGTTGTGCAGCCGTTAGACATTGCCGTTATAAATAGGAGATATGAAGCAGTTACAGGTCTTCGATCGTAGATTTCGTCGTATCATTGCTCACGTATTGTGGAATCACTATGTGAGCAATGTTGAAGTCAGAAAAAGAGTATTAGGTAAGACAGACTAGTTGATTGATGAGGTTGTGAACCTCCATCGACTGAGATGGTTTGGATATATGCTGCGCATGCCAAGCAACCAACTACCTCGACGTACAATACTAGAAGTTGGATTAGGTTGAAAGATGGTTCAGGGTGACCAGACTAAGACGCAGCACTAGTCCATGAAGTCCCTGACTGTTGATCTGAGATGTGTAGAGGGGTGTAGACTACCTGACTGGGCTACCTGAGACCATAGCAATCAATGTTTGAGGACTTTTGAAGAAGTGGATGAAAATCAGTCGCAACGCCACAGATGTATTCACTTTTTGATGTCGTCTGTAGCTTTAGTATTTGAACTGACCTTAATTTTTAAATCACCTTTCTCTACATCCACCTTTGTCTACTTTGTTAATAGACTTTTCCTATCCTTTTTGTCCTTGTATACTACTGTTAAGTGTAGTAACTTGAAGCTACATTGATATCGTCTGTCCGCTGAACATGAACGCTAGTCAGTAATTAATTTACGCTAGTCATAGTCATGTCGGTTGTGAAATCGAAAAAGCAGTGGGATAGGTAACAGTAGAGTTTTTTAGACTTTTCAAAGAAACTGGAGCGAGAAGGTCACCCGTGACACGATAGAGAAGGATGGGTCTGTGATTAACTCGCAGGAGAGATGACTGCAACCATGGGCAGAACACTTCGAGGAACAGTTCTGCTGCCCTTCAGCCACTGTTCAATTTCCCGTTGTCCAATCAAAGATTGAATAAAAAACTGAGATAGGACCCCCAGCACTCACAGAAATCAAGAAAAGTGTAAGTGTTTTGAAACGGGGAAAGGGCGGAAAGGCTAGACGAATTAAAACCAGAGATACTTAAGGACGGTGGTGGAGGATTATTGGTTACATTAACTGAATATTTAGATAGTGTGTGGTAGTCAGACATTATCCCCCCAAACTGACTTTAATCACTGATTGGCCAGGTCTTCAAGAAAGATAAGAAATCCTTTTGTGATAACCATAGGGGAATTAGCCTAACATAGTGTCTACGGTTCTAGGTTCGATAATTGTCAAAGTGGAGCTAGGGAACGAGTCCAGCAGGTTTCATACCT